TATGATTTTTGTGCAAAGAAGCAATCCTCATCGATGCATATAACAAATTGTCACAAATAACAACACTTACTTTGAACTGTAAGTTGTACTGTATTGTACATTGTACGTATTCATACTCTTACTTTCGCCTAATATTTTCGTAAAATACATGTGCATAATGTCAAGTGCTAAATAGCGCGCATAGTTGTTCTAGTTAATGCGCAAAAAGACGTGGAAAAATTAGACAAAGTATATATGATTATTTCCGGAACAGATGGAGCATTTTCAAATCTCTTATTTAGTTTTCTCCTCATTTTATCATGATTTGCTTTGCTAAAGTAGAAGATGCTTATGGTTTGAAAATGCTCTTTCGCCCAAGCAAAGAGAACTTCTTGTGTCAACATTTCATGTCCTGGTTCTTCTGACAACTGTTTTAAAGTACAGAACATCTACTTATATATTTATTACATTATTTTTTTCATTTGAAGAAAGAAAATTACACATAGCATCTACTTTGCCGTATTTCATAATTGTCATATTTTATATTATTTCAATATCGTTATTCATTTTTAAAATATAACAATCGTTATCTCTGTATTTAGTCCAGTTACTATAGGATTTTAAAACACAAAAATTCCGACCAAGCTATAATTTGCTAAACACCTTCATTTAACCGAAAGAAAAATGTTTGAAAAGTTTCCAACGTTAGCACGCGTACGCTGTTTGTTATTGACCGTAGAATGGTTAAAATTTCTGTTTTTCGCGGTTATCTCGTTTTCTATCAACTTTACGGCCAAAGTAGATCAATAATAAAACAAAAATAATAAAATTCTCTACAAAATTCTCTAATGGTCATACTTCGTACGGTCGATAGTTCTCGAGATAGATTTTTTTCAAGGAACCTCTTGTTTTCGAATGTTACGGTTCTGTCTTTGTGATATACGGCTACTCCTAAACAAAAAATAGTTACAGAGATACAGCTGAAAAATCTTCATTGTACATGTTTCTGAGTACATTTTTGTAAATAACTTACCTCTGATTTGTCTGAGGTGAAAAATGTATAGAAATTATGTGGAAGCTTGTAGAATTATCGTTAAAATGAAATTTTTTTAACCTCGTTCAATGAATATTATAGTTATCGAGATACATATAGTTATCGAGATACAGCATTTGGAAATTTTCGTAATGTACAGATTTCATGATATTTTTCTGTATATGTACACGATCATCGGATATATCGGCGATGGTTTAAAAGATAGAAAGTCGACTTGCGATACCTTTTTTCTAAATGTATCAATTTTGCAGGGTATACGTACAAAATGCCGTAGATAAAATTGAAGCTTAGAAAATTTCCTATTTGTGCCTTCATTTTCATGGTCAATGTAGCAATGCGCTTAGCGTATACGGTTACGTCTACCCGCTACTGGTAGATGTAAGATGAGTCACCGACCGGCCGTCGCTGTCGGCCTCTGTCGGTGCGGCGCCGGGGATCGCAAGAGAGAGGTTGAAGTCGTGACTCTGTATATAATTTATTGTTACCTACGCCTATGCTAAACGTCACGACATGCGCGGCTAGGCAACGATCTGTATGTCGACAGTCAGAAGGTCGACACCGGCAGTTGTGTTTAGACATTCAAAATAGACACACTCTTTCGTATTATCACTAGGCCTTCCGCATATTATGATTAGCACATAATTCTCAATTAAACTACGAATTAAAGATTAGTGACAAACACAACAATTGGCGACGAGGATAATGGAGTTTAAAGAGGCACTCATGGCACTCACGCAGCAGCAACAATTGTTCATGCAACAGCAGCAGCAGCAACAAGTACTCTTGCAGCAGCAAATGAAGCAACAACAGGATTTTATGAATCACATGTCTACGATGTGGACTAAGTCAACGGATTCTTCGCAGAGGAATGCAAAAATGGAATCATTAGCAAATTCCATGACCGAATTCATTTACGATCCAGAAAATAATTTGACTTTCGATGTGTGGTATGTAAGATATCAAGGTCTATTTCAAGAGGACGCACAGGATTTAGACGACGCATCCAAGGTCAGACTTCTATTACGAAAAATAAATACAATTTCGCATAAACAGTATGTTGATTATATTCTGCCAAAGATATACAAAGACTTTGATTTCCAAACCACAGTGAGCAAACTCACACAATTATTCGGAAAAAAAAGTTCTCTTTTTCATCAGCGATATGATTGCATGAATACGACAAAATCACCAAATCAAGATTTCGTTTCACTTGCAGCGCTAGTAAACAAACGTTGCGAGGAATTCAAAATTTCTACAATCACTGCCGATCAATTTAAATGCCTTATTTTTGCATGTGCTTTAAGATCGCCTGCGGAAGCCGATATACGAACAAAACTTCTCAACTTAATCGATACAAAGTCAGATACACTTACAATTGACGATCTTACAAGAGAATGTCAGCGATTAATCAATCTCAAGCATGACACATCAGTGATTCAAAACCAAAAATCGACAGAGTCCAATGCCGTAGCGATTGTCAAAACTGATAAACAACGTAAACCGCAGGTGACAAACTCAAATAAATCAAGGAATCTGCAAGGTAAGAAACAAATCAAAAATTCTTTACCTAACAAAGATTCAACACCTTCAACACCGTGTTGGTTTTGCGGACAATTGCATTATTCTAAGTTTTGTACTTTCAAAAATCATAAATGTCAAAAATGTAATACTGTCGGTCACAAAGACGGATATTGCGCTTCAACTCAGAGAGTCAAAACGAAAACAAATAACGAAACGGCAAATCAAAACGTCAAGACGATTAAGGTCAATCAAGTAAATTCAAATCTTACTCGCAAATTTGTGAATATTTCGATAAATAATCAACCAATTAAACTTCAACTTGATACGGGATCAGATATTACCATTATATCAGAAAAGATTTGGTCTTTGTTGGGAAAGCCTACAGGTTGTTCAACGTCTCATGTTGCACGTGACGCGTCGGGAAATCAGATCAATTTCAATCAAGAAATTTATTGTGAAGTAACCTTGAACGGAGTTATCAAACAACTACGATGTTTCGTAACAGCAAATTCGGATCTCAACATCATGGGTCTCGATTGGATCGCAGCTTTCGATTTATGGCAATGCAGTCTCAATAGCTTCTGTTCCAAGATCCATTCTCAAGCAGATTCGACGCACTTTGATATATCCTTCATTAAAGAAAATTTTAAAGAGGTTTTTTCCTCTCAATTAGGTCGTTGCACAAAGACTAAAGTCAAACTGAATTTAAAAAATAATTCAAAACCTATTTTCAGACCTAAGAGACCGGTTGCTTACGCAATTTTATCTTTAGTCGACGCAGAGCTTACAAGACTGGAACAAAATGGAATCATTTCACCAATCAAGTATTCAGACTGGGCAACTCCAATAGTTGTAGTAAGAAAAAAAAATGGAAAGATTAGGATCTGTCCGGATTTCTCAACTGGACTTAACGAATCATTGGAACCTAATCGTTATCCACTTCCATTACCAGATGAAATATTTTCGCAACTGTCAAACTGTAAGTATTTCAGCCAGCTAGATTTGTCAGACGCATTTCTTCAAATTGAAATAGAGGAGCAATCAAGGCATCTTCTAACAATCAATACTCACAGAGGTTTATACGTTTATAATCGTTTACCTTTCGGAGTCACCATAGCTCCAGGTGAATTTCAATCAATCATGGATTCAATGATATCTGGACTAGAAAACGTTTTTGCTTATATTGATGATATTGTTGTGGGTGGAGCTACAGTTCAAGAGCATAATCAAAACTTAACTTATTTATTAGAGCGAATAAAGGATTATGGTCTACATCTGCAAATAGAGAAATGTTGTTTCTTTACTACACAGATCAATTATCTGGGTTATGTCATCGATGGACAAGGATTACATCCAGATCCTACAAAAGTCGAAGCAATTAAAAACATGCCTGAACCACATAATTTAACTACATTACGTTCGTTTTTAGGAGCAATCAATTATTATGCACGTTTCATTTCAAATATGCACATTCTTAGACGTCCTTTGGATAATCTTTTAAAAAAGGATTCTAAATGGAACTGGTCTCCAAAATGTCAAGAATCTTTTAATCAATTTAAGAGAATTCTTTCTTCAAAGCTCTTATTAACTCACTACAATCCTCAGCATGAGATTATTGTAGCAGCAGATGCTTCAAATGAAGGATTAGGAGCATGCATTCTTCATAAATTTCCAGATCATTCGATCAAGGCAATCAGTCACGCCTCAAGGAGTCTCACAGAAGCAGAACGTAAATACAGTCAAATTGAAAAAGAGGCATTAGCAATCATTTTCGCAGTCACGAAATTTCATAGAATGATTTTCGGAAGACGATTCATCCTTCAAACGGATCACAAACCATTACTTCAAATATTTGGTAACAAAAAAGGAATTCCGTCGCATACAGCCAACCGTCTTCAACGATGGGCACTTCAATTATTATCTTACGATTTTAAAATCGAATACATCAAGACGACAGAATTTGGACATGCGGATGTTTTATCAAGACTAATCAGTCATCAACAACGTCCTGAAGAGGATTTTGTAATCGCTTCTGTCAAAATGGAAACAGATTTATTCTCAGTCCTCAATGAATCACTTCAGTCCTTTCCAATCACATTTCAACAAATCAAGGAAGCAACTAAAGAAGATGACATCTTACAAAAAGTTATCAACTTTACTTTGAATTCATGGCCTCAGAATGTAGATGATTCGGATTTACAACCATTTTTCCGCCGTCGAAACTCACTAACCGTGATTCAAGAATGTCTTCTTTTCAACGACAGAGTTGTAATTCCTCAACAATTCCATCAACAAATTCTCAAACAATTGCATAAGGGTCATCCTGGAATGGAGCGAATGAAAATCATAGCACGTTCGTACGTATATTGGCCAAGGATAGATCAGCAAATAGAAGAATTTGTCAGAAATTGCAGAAATTGCACACTCGCCGCGAAATCACCTATCAAGGTACCATTATCAAGCTGGTCTCTTCCTGAAAAACCATGGCAAAGAGTTCACATAGATTTCGCAGGACCGTTAAATGGAGAATATTATTTTGTTTTGGTCGATGCCTTTTCAAAATGGCCTGAAATAGTTCCAACGCAAACAATCACAGCTCAGCGAACTATTGATATTCTTCAAGAAATTTTTGCAAGATTTGGTGTCCCTGAAAGTCTAGTTTCAGATAATGGAACTCAGTTCACTTCAGAAAAGTTTCAAAACTTTTGTCTTTTACAGGGAATCAATCATCTGCATACTCCACCGTTTCATCCAAGTTCTAATGGACAAGCAGAACGTTTCGTAGATACATTCAAACGGGCACTTTCAAAATGCGAGACAGAGGGGAAAGAAGTCAAGAAACATCTCTGCACTTTCTTGCAGTATTACAGGTCAACTCCAAATCCTAATGTTCCAAATCAAGTTTCTCCCGCGGAAGCCTTGCTTGGAAGACCAATGCGAACAACGTTAGATCTGCTTAAGCCCTCGAAATGCTCAACTGCTCAACCTGAGAAACCGCTGCCAAAACAAAAGCAAGAAGAACAATACAACAGGAGACATGCAGTCAAAGCTAAAAAATTTGAACCAGGAACAAAAGTTTATGTTCAAATTCACACTTACAATAAATGGTCGTGGATTCCTGGGGAAATAGTCGAAAAAGTTGGAAGAGTTATCTACAATGTACTTGTCGACACACGAAGTCGCTTGGTTCGAGCTCATGCGAATCAAATCAAGTTTAGAGCTATCAAGGACAATGACGACTCATCTCAACAGCAAGAAATTCAATTACCACTTGAAATATTAATCAATGCCTTCGATCAGGGAGGAAAACAAGAGAACATTCAAGAAACTACCTCTGTTCCTCAAGGAAATTCTACTTCACCTCAAATTCTAGAAGACATCAATCAAGAACTATTGCAATCTCAAGAATCGTCTTCACAACCAGATTCAGGTCAACGATCGGAACCTGTGCAACAGGAAAAACCAGTGCTTAGGCGCTCTCAACGCAATAGACGTCGTCCACGTAAACTGGAGGATTACCAGTGTCACTCTTCCAGATAGGGGAGGTGTTACCTACGCCTATGCTAAACGTCACGACATGCGCGGCTAGGCAACGATCTGTATGTCGACAGTCAGAAGGTCGACACCGGCAGTTGTGTTTAGACATTCAAAATAGACACACTCTTTCGTATTATCACTAGGCCTTCCGCATATTATGATTAGCACATAATTCTCAATTAAACTACGAATTAAAGATTAGTGACAAACACAACATTTATGTACAACGTTTATTATGGCTATGTACAGATATATACAATGATGGTAGGTCAGTGTATTTTATGTTGGCCCTGAAAAGGGCCGTTTGGTTTCCTCCTCACTTAGAGGGACTTCGCTCCTTGTAGGTGAGCGGTGGCTGCGTATGAGTCCACTTGGTGGTACGACGCTTCTCAATTATTCGCTCGCAGTAAGTGAGCGCAGGCTGCGTCGCGGTCCTCTTTTCCGGGCCCCAGTAGTTTGCGTTCTCGTCTCCGGGTTGGTTAGTGGTCTCCCACTCCGATCCAGAGAACGGCTCTGGCTGTCTCGCTGGCGGAGGCGTCTGCAGATATCGTGGTGAGGTGTACCGGCACACTCGCAGGTCCCACGGGTGTAGGCAGTACCTCGGTGGCCTAGTCCTGGCAGGCGACGGTATGTCCAGCCGGTGTAGCTTCCAGGCAGCAAGCTGGAGGGTCACCTTCCGCACGGAGGTCGACTCTGGTCGCTGCTGAGCCGTCGGCAGTGTCGGCGACCCGGGCGGAGACTGCGGCACGACTCTGGTCTCTGCTGAGCCGTCGGCAGTGTCGGCGACCCGGGCGGAGACTGCGGCGCGTTGCCCAGCTGGTGTTGCCGTCTCGGTGGGCGACGGAGCAATCCTGTAACCTCCACTGGCCGGATCCTGGGAGTCGCCGCTTGTAGTCGGCGGCGGCGCAGGAGCTGCTGGCGTAGACGCTGGATCAGCGGGGCTCCTGTCTGCTGCGCTGGCCGCTGCTGCTGAGGCCGCGATGACTGCTGCTGTCGAGGCTGCGATGGCTGCGGCAGCTGAGGCTGTGATGACGGCTGCTGTTGAGGCTGCGATGGCTGCTGCTGTCTAGGCTGCGATGGCTGCTGCGGCTGAGGCTGCGATAGCTGCTGTAGCTGCGGTAGCGGCGGTAGCTGTTGCTGCTTGGTAGACCGTAGCTGCGTTAAAAATTGCTGGGAGGTATAGCCCTGCATGCCGCTGCTCGGTGTCGGTTGATCGGTTCGGCGCCTTATCTATAAGGGCCCTGGACCGATTCTTCGCACGCGATAACATTATCGGCGCTAGCCCTCTGGTGGGCGTACCGCGGTAGTTGCGCGTCGCGCAGTACTTGCGCGCGGTCGTGTGCTACGGGCGCTTGTATGGTCAAGTGCTACAGGCGCTTGGATGTTCCAACCGAGCGCTTGACGAAAGGTAGCTGCTCGGTGGGTTTTCGTTAGTGCGACTGATAAGGGTCGCCACAGTCAATAATAGGTAAAATATTTGTATTCATTTAGGACAAATGATATTCGAGATATACTACAAGAAATTAAATACTCTTTCGATAAAATACTCTTTCGATTAAATACTCTTGTTATATGCATTTTGCGCGTACATGCACGTAAATTTGAGAAAAACGTAACGTTCGAAAATAAGAGATCCCTTAAAAAATTTTTTGAGAGTACCGAGTAGTTCTGAATAGTGTTTCTTATAGTTCTCGACGAGTCCTATCGAAAACTATTACATGCGAAAGCGATTGAACGAACGGTTTGCAAGGTACAGCGACATTTGTCAAAAGATCAACAATTTTTTGATTGAGTATATCTCAGAAACCGTTGGTCCAATCGCTTTGAGCCCTGATACTTTTCGACAGAACTCGCCGAGAACTGTCCAGAACTCCGAACAGAACTACTAGGTGCTACTAACAAATTTTCCAACGTGGGATTAAGAAAAAAATTTTAGGTCCAAAATTGTTTGGGAGTACCGAGTAGTTCTGTTCGAAGTTCTGGACAGTTCTCGGCGAGTTCTGTCGAAAAGTATCAGGGCTCAAAGCGATTGGACCAACGGTTTCTGAGATATACTCATTTAAAGATTGCATGATCTTACAAATGTAACAAATGTTGCTATAACTTGCAAACCATTGGTCCAAGCGATTTTTCACCTTACATTCGATAGAACTCGTGGAGAACTGTAAGAAACGCTACTCAGAACTACTCGGCACTCTTAAAAAATTTTCTGACGTGGGACTTGGAAAATAATTTTAGGACAAAAATTTTTTGGGAGTACCGAGTAATTCTGTTCGGAGAAAGTTTTTGACGAGTTCTGTTGAAAAGTATCAAGGCTTAAAGCGATTGGATCAACGGTTTCTGAGATATACTCATTTAAAAATTGTATGATCATACAAATGTATGTCGCTATATCTTGCAAATCGTTGGTCTAATTGCTTTTTCACCTTATTTTATTATTCTACAAAAATGTTTCTTATGTATCAAGAACTCTAGGTATACACAAAATAGTCCTGTTAAGCTGATCAGAACTATGCGACCTTGAACGAATAACGAGCGACGGGAATGGTCAATGACCTTGATCTTCTTGAGGGTCAAGGTCAAGGTCACTCGGAAGTCATTTGATTATTAAGCGGAACTCTTGTTATTAACTATAGGGAACTCTTTGTCTCGTCAAAAGGAAGTGGTAACTCCAATCAGAACTCCTGAGTACTATATATAGTTGAGGTGTTAACTTAACACACCCATTATAAACGTAAAAAAAAACTATCATAACACTACTAAGGATATACTAAGAATGCGTTAGAAAATAATAATTGTCCATCGTTCCAGTTATAATAAAAACCAAAGTTCAGTAACAAATAAATTACGTGTCTCTGGTAAAAATTCTAAATTCCTAAACTGAATCTTGTTATTGTTGCAAAGAATTTGTGCAAAGTAGTTTTCAATTAATAATTTATTTGTTTTACATTTATGTAACTATATTGTTTTACAGATCCGGAAAAATAATAACAAAATTATCGGCTGCACAAGCGAAGTGTAATAATTACGGTACGACAAGTAACAGTCACAGGTGTTCAGTATATTAGCTACTAGTATTAGTATAATAGTTACAAGTGCTCAAATAAAGCATCAGCTGCTAATAGCGCTGGATTTGCTTGTCTAAAGCGTTTACAATTTAAACAATTAATTTTTTTTGGACTCAAACTAAAATTATTCGCTATTGTAACATTTGTGGCTGCGATAGCGTAGAATTTTGGTCTGTCGTAAGTACCTGCATCATAAGAAGGTTGTTCCGAACGCCAACTGAAAATGTGTCCTCAGTGTCACAAGTTCTATTACGGTAATACCGAAAAAAATATTTTGGCTTCCAAAGAATGGTTAACGGAAACGATGATCGATAGTTTTCATGCGCTACTTGAGAGAAATTCTCATTACGCGCCTCGACCTGTATGGTTGACTAAGTTTCCTGATCAGATTGTTCCACTCGATAATTCGAACAAGAAACATTTGCAAATACTGCACAGCGATTTCGGGGGTGGGCATTGGGTTGCTTGCCATTACGACACAAAAACTGTTATTATTTATGATTCTCATGAAGGTAGTCGTAATGCAAATATAGAAAATATAAATTTAGAAATTCGAGTTTTTGTGGAAAAGTTATTTCCCTTTCATGATTTCAAAAGAATCCAATTGTTCCCGAGGTTCAGTCGCAAGGCAATGGTTATAATTGTGGTCCTATAGCGATTGCGATTGCTACATCGATTCTGTTTGGTATAAATCCTTGTATCGTGCCGTATGATCGATCTTTACTAAGATCTTATTTGTCCGAAATGTTTGCAAGACAAACAATAACACATTTTTCGTGTCTCTTCGATTCAACTGCTCCAATAACGTTATTGCCGTTGAAGACGTTGAAAAGACGAGAGGCGGATGCGCTTAGAAAAAGACTTGCACGTAGCAAGGAAACTGAAGAACAGCGTTCAAAACGAATTGCAAAAGATGCTTTTTCTCACAGAGAGAAGTATGTTATGAACTCAGAAATGAAATGCGCAATGATGCGTGATCAGTACAAAAAAGATCCGGAAGCAAAATGTCAGAGTATGCGTGATCAGTACAAAAAAGATCCTGAAACGCAACGTCTGAGAAAACGTGACCAGTACGACAAGGATCCTGAAACAAAATGTCAGAGTATGCGTGATTATTACAAAAAAGATCCTGAGAGGTTGCGTAAAAGAAAGCGGAGCGAATATCGAAAAGATTTAGGAAATAAACGGTACACCAAAAGAAAGAATTATTTAAAAAATGCTATCAGTGAAAGAGATCGTCAAAATAGATTCAGGAAAAACCATTCCGATTCAAAAAAAATGTATAACAAAAAGTGTTACAATTTATTTAAAGATCAAGTGGTTGAGTTAAAAATAAAAATAAGAAGAAGGAGCATATACCACACGCTGGTTAAAAGTAGCGAAGATTTCGTATATTTAATACTACTAAATTTACATAATTATAATAAACGTTTCGGTCATTAATGTGACCATCTTCAGTATACAAAAATTTATAATTTAATTCACTAATATATTATAAATGAAACTAAGTGCTAGAGCACAACTTTTCGCATGTTTGTCAATTATTCTATACTATAAGATATTAAACAGTTATAATTTGTCAAAATATAAAAGTCAATTCGCAATAAAATGGTGTCAAAATTAAAAAGTGATTCGCATAACGTAACAGTATACAATATAATTTTCTTCATGTCATTACAATTCAGATGATGAGTTTGTTAAAGTATTGGCATCAACTGTGATTTGAGAACAAAAGTTTCCAGACTAAAAAATTTTTTTTTTTTTTAAATAGATATTTTTTTTTTTTTTTTTGAGTTTTAATTAAAAAAAAAAAAAAAAAAAACAAAAAAAAGGAACAAAAAATTTTAAGTTGATAATTAATAAATACCTCTGTCTCAAAGGAATTTCGACGACATCCATGTGAAAGGACTAAACGTTGGTCGTTACAAAAAGAGAATGTGGTATGAATTTGTTATTACAAGTAACCTCTTTACATTAAACAAAGAATATTTTTAGGAGTGGGAAACTAAAGTAGGATGGTAGGGATGATTTAAAAGTGTCGTTATGTAATTTTCTGGAAATCTTTCCGTGTCGCTCTGTAAATTTAAACCGTTTAATTGTTTTTTTATGAATATCATTTCAGAAATTGATCTTTTAATGTATGATGGTTCATTATCTAAAATATGGACATTATCCCAATCCATTGTATGGTTATATTCTATTTGATGCTTACTAACAACGGATTTATTTTGTAGTTTTTTAATGTCTGCTTTATGTTCTTTAATTCTAGTTTTTAGGTTCCTTTTTGTTTGACCAACATATGAGCAATCGCAATTAAGACAGTCAATTTTATAAACTACGTTAGTGTTGTTAAATTTATCCAACTTATCTTTACCTAATTTAATGATTTGATTTAATTTATTGATTGGTTTGTAAGCTATGTTGATCTCAGAGTCAACACCAAAAATTCCTTTGAATTTTTCAGACACTTTATTATGGTACGGTACACAGAAAAATTTTTTCTTATTTGTATATGTATCTTTATTATGTATATTGTCATTATTTTGACTATGTATAAAAGATTTGATTCTATTATTTATTGATGCAAATAAGAAATCGAGAGGATAACCATTATTAGTTAAAGTGTTAATTAATTCTTGGATGTTCTTAATGTGGAATTTTGGATGTGAAAGCAAAAGGATGCGATCGAAAAGTGATGTAATCACGCCCCTTTTATGGCATAAAGGATGATTGGAATGATAATTGAGGTATCTACCGGAATTAGTTGGTTTTTTAAAAATATCAAATAAAATTCTTCCATTCTCAATACACAGTTTTACGTCTAAGAAATTTATCCAACCATCAATGCTTTCCTCAAGTGTAAATTTAATCCTACTATGGTAGGAATTAAAGGTGTCAAAAACTTTTTTAATTTCTTTATGAGGAATAGCTAATAGCGTGTCATCCACATATCTATAATATATGGGAATGTCAATATTGATGGCTGATAAAATTTCAGTCTCAAGATCTTCCATAACTATATTAGCGAGTACCGGAGATAAGGGTTACATAAAACGTGTTACAAAAAGTGTTACATAAAACGTGGTGATAAGTTTATGGTACAAAGATGGCAGACGATTAAAA